GGTCATGCGTCAACAGAGAGGAAAAAAAATTTAATTTGCTTTTATCTTGGGTTATTCTGCAGCACCATGCATCACTGAAATCAGGTGGAACTAGATTCTTGATGCAAAAAGAAAAAGATAGAAGTGCGTGTGTGTCCAAATGAATAAAGCTACCAGCTGCTGGGCCGTGCTTTGAATAGTAAAACTGGCTTTCTGTGAGCTTGCTCATTGTTAAGTGCCACAATTCTCCCTGTCAAAGGCATTCATTCCTTTTTGATGCTATGGGACTTGAAGGAGAGAGTGGTTATCGCACAGATCACATTTTTCTTCTAAATATTTATCTCCCTCTTCTACTACACTCTGCTCTGATGCTAAGTTTTGCCCTGTTTCAGCTTTGTATTGAATTAAACCTCTTGCCAGGTATGGGGTTCATGCCTTTAATCCAAGCACTCAGGAGGAAGAGGCAGATAGATATCTGAGTCTGAGGCCAAACTCGTCTATAGAGTGAGTTCCAGGACAGTCAATGCTACACAGAGAAACCCCATCTTGAAAAAAACAAAAAACAAAACACAAATCCTCATATAGTATAAAGACCATTCAACAATTATTTCATGGGAATAAGCTGTTAAAAAAAATCTTGGTTAAATGATATACATTAAATGTGATTTATCAAGTTGAATCAATGAAATAATAAAGTATATTTCCATTAAAAAAGAAGTGTGTGTGTGTGCGTGCGCACGCGTGCACGCATTTGTGTTACCCAGTGCATGTAAAATGTGTATCAACTGCTTCCTAAATTACTAGATTTTGAAATGTAACTTATTTCAAGCGCTTCAGAGACCTCCAGCTACAGGTACCATGGCTGATCCTCCACCCCCTAATGAATTGTAAAGCTCAAATTCTCGTGTGTACTCTGAGGCTACTGTCCCCACTTCTCAGGAACTGCTCCCACTAAAACACTGAACGTGGAAATGATGCTGAGGCAAGTTCCTGGGACACCAAAGTTCTTGGTGAACTTGGACTCAAGGTTTCTAGTTAATTTTCCTTCCTTTGGAACTTATGTGTGGTCAGCCTTACCAGGCTGCTTGTTCTTTTCCTTCACAGGCTATACTGGTTAGTTTTTTGCATACTTGACACAAACTAGGGTTTCCTAGCAGAGGGATTCTCAATTGAGGAAATGCCTCCATAAGCTGGCTTTCAAGCAAGCCTATGGGGGCATTTTCTTGATTAATGATGGATGTGGGAAAGCCCATTTCCAGTAGTGCTTCCCCTGGACAAGTGGTCCAGAGGGTATAAGAAAGCGAACTGAGCAATTCAGGGCAAACAAGCCGGTATTCATCACTTCTCCATGGCTTCTGCTTCAGTACCTGCCTCCAGATTCCCACCGTGACTTCCTTTAGTGATGGAGGGAATGAACCCTTTCCTCTCCAAGTTACTTCTGGTCATCTTTTATCACAGTAATAGAAACCCTGAGACACAGGCATTGCCCCTGCTAAAATCTTTGCATACTGAACTCTGAAGCTAACTTCTGGCCTCCACAGGCATGTCCCCACACAGGCATAAAAGTTATAGGAATGACGCCAAGCAAACTTGGCCTATTTAATTTTACTGTTTCTGAGGTAGGGCCTCACTAGATAACTGGCAGGCCTGGGACTTGCTATGCAGACCAGGTCTCACAGAGATCCTCCTGCCCCTTTATCCTGAATGCTGGGATTAAAGGCATGAGCTAAAATGCTTGCCAACATCTCTCGCTTTAGTGTTCCATGACTATTTCCTTCACCTGAACCAGTTATGAGACCCACAGCTGCAGAATGTTGATTTCTTCCCTTTCATTATCCAGCACTTTTTCTTGGTAAAGAAATCTCTTCCTTCATTTCCTAATGTCATTTAATTCTGAATGTTACTATGGATTTGGTGATTTTTAGTATGTATATCTTAATTCCTTATTCTTTTTGTTACTAAAATACCTGCATACAGAATTCTGCCTACTGAACTCTGCCTTTGTGTCTGCTCTTCAGAGGACTCCACTAACACACAGATTGGAAACCCAGTGTTAACAGTGGGCTGTCTGAGGGAAGGGATCAGCAAGTCTGGCACAGGAGGGGCAGGGGAACAATTGGAAATGTTTAATGACATGAAATTTCTGTAACAAACCCAATATGTTGTATACTAAATTAAAAAATAATGAAAGTGGGTGTCTTAGGGTTTCTACTGCTGTGAAGGGACACTATGTCACGACAAGTGATATATAGAAAAATATTTAATTGGGTGGCTTACAGTTCAGCGGTTCAATCCATTATCATCATGGTATATAGGCAGACATGGTACTGGAAAAGGAGCTGAGAATTTTACTTCTTGAGCAGGCAACAGGAAGTGAACTAAGATACTGGGCGTAATTTGGGCATATATGCGACCTCAAAACCCAAAGGCACACTGACACACTTCCTCCAACAAGGCCACACCTCCTAATAGTGCTATTCTCTAAGAGCCTAAGGGGGGGGGGGGATTACATTCAAACTACCACAGCCGGGAGAAGCAGTTCTTAAATTTGGGCAACAAGAGCCTCTGTAATGGATGTGGTGGGACATGCCTTTAGTCCCAGCACTCAGGAGGCTGAGACAAGTGGACCTCTGAGTTCAAACCATAGCATTTCTAGGTGGGGTTAAATGAACACAGTCTCTAAAAGGCCGGTGAAATTGAAAGCTTTCAGGAACAATAGTACATTTAAAGAAGTAACACGCACGCACGCACGCATATACTTTTCCAGGTTTGAATTAGAATTTTGGTCGTTGATCAGAAAAGGTCTGTTAAAGCTCTAGTTCCTCCAGCTCTGGTCCTCCCTCCTAAGACTCTTTGAGGAAGGACGGCCTAGGTGCATCACCCTTCCCGTTCGAATCAGCGTATTTCCTGAGATAGAGAGCAGTAAAATGGTTGAACCCAAACTTACATTTCTTACCTTAAGGTTGAGGACAGGTCTTAACACTTTTCCTATGTAAATATGTATTATTTGGACCAGGGAGCCAGCACATTTGTGGTGGCGTAAGACAGAGTATTTGTGTCCCAGCTGACACCTGGTAGCGGTGTACTCCACCGCAAGTTAAAAGAAGAGGTCATGTGGAAGTCCCAGGCTAAATTTATTGAACTATATTGGTCCAGCTTTGCATAAGTATAGAACTGTATGCTGCTTCAACTGTAACACTGCACCACAAAGGCCTTAGACTCAGCAGAACTTTTACACGAACAGTCATAACAAAGATTTGTTGAGTGCCAACCGTGCAGAACGGTTGCTCTTTTGGGATCCATCCACGGATGAGACTCACATTCCAGTTTACTGTGCTCTGGTTAAAGGCTCCATACAAACTTTCCTAGACCATTCACAAAGAGTTCTAGGATGTTCTCTTCAAAATCAACATGATGTTTTTCCAAGACCACAGAAAAGTGGCACAGACCCACTGCAGCCGACCTAAACATTCACCCTTGCAAAACTCTTTTTTTTGTTTTATTTTTTAATTTATTTATTTATTAAAGATTTCTGTCTCTTCCCTGCCACCGCCTCCCATTTCCCTCCCCTCCCCCAATCAAGTCCCCCTCCCTCGTCAGCCCAAAGAGCAATCAGGGTTCCCTGCCCTGTGGGAAGTCCAAGGACCACCCACCTCCATCCAGGTCTAGTAAGGTGAGCCTCCAAACTGCCTAGGCTCCCCCAAAGCCAGTACGTGCAGTAGGATCAGAAACCCATTGCCATTGATCTTGAGTTCTCAGTAGTCCTCATCGTCTGCTATGTTCAGCGAGTCAGGTTTTATCCCATGCTTTTTCAGACCCAGGCCAGCTGGCCTTGGTGGGTTCCCGATAGAACATCCCCATTGTCTCAGTGTGTGGATGCACCCCTTCGTGGTCCTGAGTTCCTTGCTCGTGCTCTCTCTCCTTCTGCTTCTGATTTGGACCTTGAGATTTCAGTCCGGTGCTCCAATGTGGGTCTCTGTCTCCTTTCATCGCTTGCTGAAGGTTAATATTCAGGCGGATGCCTATATGTTTTTCTTTGGGTTCTCCTTATTTAGCTTCTCTAGGATCACTAATTATAGGCTCAATGTCCTTTGTTTATGGCTAGAAACCAAATATGAATGAGTACAACCCATGTTCCTCTTTTTGGGTTTGGCTTACCTCACTCAGGATAGTGTTTTCTATTTCCATCCATTTGCATGCAAAATTCAAGAAGTCCTTGTTTTTTTACTGCTGAGTAGTACTCTAATGTGTATATATTCCATACTTTCTTCATCCATTCTTCCATTGAAGGGCATCTAGGTCCTTGCAAAACTCTTTATTCCACCACCTAGAGTTGTATCCCTGGTGGCTGGCCAGGCTGTCAAAAAAGCAAAAGCGTAACTTTTCTGCCCGGAAACTGGAAGCCTTGGAAGACAAAGGCGCGTGTGTGACTCGCGCGTGTCCCCTGTACAATTAAATCTCTGCTACTCGACCAAGCAGCCTCACACCGGGTCGTCCCTGCACCTTGGAGAAGATTCCCTGTTCTGCAACCAAGGATTGATCAGATCAATCCTCAGAGAAGGGCGATCGCGCCCCCTTGTGGCGCCACGCAGCTCCAGCGCCGGGTCCGGAACTGAGCGGTCCTACGGAACCTCGGCCGTGCGGTTCTGGTTTCCGGGGGAAGAGGGACGAGAAGGACCCTGGCGAAGAGGCTCCCTTGGCTTCCTTGGCGGTCATGGCTACTACGCTCGGAAGGCTGCTGCTTTGCCGGCCCAGCCCGGGCGGCGGGGCCCGCTGGAGTGAGTTTTCGCGTTCCCAGCCTGGGAAGACAATCTGTTGTGCAGAATCGGGGAAAGAGAGGGACGCGCACACGGGGGGCGCTTGCGGGGCTTTTAGGAAGCAGCCCCAGCCTCCTGCAAACGTCCTCATACTTGTGCTTGCCTGGCCAAGTCTCTTGCTTTGGGGTTTGGAAGAAAAGTCCAGCGTTTCTTGTGCTAGATATTGATAGTTTGGGCATGGGCTTTCCGCTCTCATGGAACTTTCTTGTCCCCTCCCAGACACTTTCCAACTCCAACATTGCTTCCTTTCCACCGAGCCTGGTTTCCTCCCACTTGCTTTTGGGACGCCACTGAGAAGATCGGTGGATGTGAGAGAAAACCAGAGGTGCGGGCGTAGGCTAAGCTAAATTATTAATGCTATAAAGTGGTATAAGTATGCCCCGGTCGAATTTTTGACCTATGTTATGCAAAAATTCTGTTGCTTTCTCTTGTTACAGGCCTCTAGTAAGCTATTCATTTATTCAGTCTTTCATTTCTTCATAGGATTTATAGCGACATCGCCAGCTGCTCAGCTGTCACCCACCGAACTGACAGAAATGAGGAACGAACTTTTTAATAAAGAGAAAAGTAGGCAGTTATCATTAACTCCCCGAACAGAAAAGATTGAAGTTAAGCATGTTGGGAAAACTGATCCTGGCGTCGTCTTCTTGATGAACAAAAACATTTCCACTCCCTACAGTTGTGCCATGCGTAAGTAGCAGAATCAGTGTACGGCCCTGACCATTCGACGCGAACACTGCGGAGGGCAAAGTGCTGTAATTGTTTTGCGAGGCTAAGGAATTTCTTTATTTGACACTTGGTAGCCCTTCACGGTCCCTTTTACTTTGTGGGTACTGCGGATATTGCAGCATTTCTGTGGCATGCAGGTTGTCTCCAAGTTTGCTTGAACGTAACTAAGCCTAGGGTGCTTGGTGCTCTTGAGACTGTCTCTTTTCATGTACTGGGAGCCTTTATCCTGCAGGTCTCATTAAAGTATTTTGAGTTTTTGTTTTTTCCTACCTTTTCCTTTTTAGCTTTTTTTCCTAACTGAATATAACTCTCATCTGCTTGCTACCTGCCCCTTGTGTTGTGATTTTGTTCAGTATAGGTACTCAATGTATGAATGTACTTGTTAAGTATAGTGAGGGTTAAAAGTTAATTGTTCTGTTTATATTGTTTTTTTTTTTTTTAAAATTTATTTATTTATTATGTATACAGTGTTTCACCTGCGTGCCAGAAGGGGGCACCAGATCTCATTAGAGATGGTTGTGAGCCACCATGTGGTTGCTGGGAATTGAACTCAGGGCCTCTGGAAGAGCAACCAGTGCTCTTAACCTCTGAGCCATCTCTCCAGCCCCTCTGTTTATATTGTTTGAGAGAGCCTTGGGCTTATATATGATTTGGTGTGGAAATTAAGGCGTTAAAGACATTTGGATAGGGCTTTGATACACATGATATTTAAATTGCATATCTCCAAATAGTAGATAGGAACAATTGGCTGTATTGTTTAAACTTAAGAGACTCAGTAATACCATTTCAGTAGGTGACAGGGTTAGTTGCCAGCTGAAACTGGTTTAAGGCATGCATTCTCAGCCTTCCTCTACTCTTGACAGTTAAACAAGCACTGGTGGTAATTGCTCATTTGATATTCATGTATTTCTTCACCTTGCTGTGTGGTACAGGCGAGGAGAATAAGACACACCGAAGGCCCTAATGGAGCTCTCTATACATACCGTCTGCAGAGATGAAGTTTCTGAGCCATCCTCATCTTGACCTTTAAGACCTTTGTTATGGAACTTAATACTAGTTTATATGTTAGACTCTGTAGTTTGACCATTTTTGTGAATATGTGTTGAATGTGTATTTAGGGTTAGAATCTTAGGGTGGGATAATAGAACAGATTAGAGGTGATTGGTTTACATGTGAATTCACATTTATAATTTTACAGTTGTAACTACATTATTTTATTTGAAATGTCTGTAATGTAATAATGTAAGAAAGAGGTGGTTTGGGAGCAAGACTCAAGGATAATTTAAACAAATTTATGTGAATATATAGATATATTTTCCTTTTCTTCTGACTTGTGTGTATGTGTGAATGAATCCATATATCTATGTTGTTTCCCTTTGACTATTTAATTATAACTCTTTGAATATTATTTTATTAGTTGGCAAATTAATTTAAGACTACACTTAGCTGTAATAGATTTTGTTAAAGGTTTTGGTAGTTTGTTGGCAATGCTTTCATGTGTTGTTTTCTTTTTAAATTCATCATATATAAAATATATAATATTTCTGCAAAAATAGTTGGTAGAATTTTGCTCTTCATTATTTTGTTTCGGAACATATCAGTTAAACATGTAACTTTTCACGTTGGATTTTTGTTAGATTTAGATCATCAATTCAGTTTGCATTCACAGATTTAAGTGAGTGGTACTGCAGGAAGTCCATTCTGGCGCTTGTGGACGGACAGCCGTGGGACATGTATAAGCCTTTGACCAAGTCCTGTGAGATTAAATTTCTTACTTTCAAAGACCCTGACCCAAGAGAAGTGAATAAGGTATTTTCTTGGCTTCTCCAGCTTTCTTCTTCTTTTTACAAATCACACCTATGTTCTATGAAGTAGAAAATCTATAAATAAGGCCAGACTCCTCTGTGGTATTCTACTAGTGTTTTACGTCAGCTTAAGTATTTTTGTAGCTCAAAATACTAGTGGTATCAACTTGTTTGTATTTCTGATTGATAAGTCTATAGGGCATGTCATTTATGCTCATAGCCTTTGGTAACCCTCTATGTATTTGGGAGTTCCACTTCTATTGATATAACTTGAATTTGGTCTGAAATCAAACCATTGTCTGTGGATGATTTTAGTAACTTTCTGACTCTTTTCCATCCCAACTACCTCTTAGAACATCATCCTTTGCAGTTCTGTTACATTTTATAAGTGACTTTTTGGGGGTCTTGTCATTGATCCCTAAAGAACTTGCATGCATAGTAAAGTGGACATAGCTTTCTGGGGGTCTTGTCACTTGTTCCCGAAGAACTTGCCTGCATGGTAAAGTGGACGTAGCTTTCTGGGTTTGCATGATGTGTCTCCAGCCTGCTGTTTTAGTCTTACCGTCCACTAGATCTCCACACCCCGCCCCTTTCTTGCTCTGGCCACACAAGAGTACTTGGTGGCGAACGATTTATACGGTATTATCCTCCCTGCTTTTGCTGTGCTCTTCCTTCAGTGCAGATCACTGTCGTTCCCCTTTAGCGCTCTGTTTATGTGTTATGGTTCAGTTAAAATGCCATCTGCGCTGTGGAATCTACTAGGTTTCATCTTGTCAAAATTCTGTAGGCTCTAGCAACACTTGGCTAGAGTCTCTAAATACAGTATTTTCATCTTATTACTGGGTGCATTAGACTCCTTCTGTGAATACAGAGATAGTTTCTGTTTCAGATCTAGTCTTTCACTTCAGGAAATGTTCAATAAACATCTGTTGAAATAACATACTTAAGCAAGAAGATGTTAAGAGCCTTTAGTAATAGTAACACTGAGGTACTGGTTTAAGTAATTGACAGATGTTCATTTGATCTCATATAAACTCTAGAGAGTAGGTGGTTTTCTTCCTATTTTCCATGAATAAATGATTAAGAGAACTTTCACACCTTGACTAAGGTTACGAGTTACAAAGTAGTAAGGTCTGGATATGAACCTGGTTATTTTGGCAAAAGCGTAATAGATTTTTGATTGTATTAATGTTATAATTGCCCTGGATGAGTGGGCAGGTATTGGAAAAATATGTGCTAAGCCAAGAGTTGATTTAAGTTTTAATATTGTAGAAACTTTAGTGAATCTTAGTATGTTACATTTATGTGTGTATTTCTTTCTTTAGGCCTACTGGCGTTCTTGTGCCATGATCATGGGCTGTGTAGTAGAAAGGGCCTTCAAAGACGAGTATACAGTCAGCTTGGTGAGAGCACCAGAAGTTCCTGGTAATATATACATCAATAATTTATACTTTTAAGATCTATGAATGCTTTGGTATTGATTTTTGATTTTATCTAGTATAAGACTATGCATGTGGTTCATGTATTGTAGGTAATACAGTTACTGTGTTAGGATGAAATGTGAAGTAATCAGATGTCAGTAATTAACAAAATGAAATTAGTTACTCTTACATACAATGTTATGGAATTACACTGTTGATGGGGGAGACTCTTCTGTTTTGTGTTAATTTCATTGGTTAATAAAGAAACTGCCTTGGCCCATTTGATAGGCCAGCCCTTAGGTGGGTGGAGTAGACAGAACAGAATGCTGGGAGAAAGAAGCCGAGTCAGGCAGTCGCCATGATTCTCCCACTCCAGACAGATGCAGGTTAAGATCTTTCCTGGTAAGCCACCTTGTGGTGTTACACAGATTATTAGAAATGGGTTAGGTCAATATGTAAGAGCTAGCCAATAAGAGGCTGGCACTAATGGGCCAGGCAGTGTTTAAAAGAATAGTTTCCGTGTAATTATTTTGGGGCATAAACTAGCCATGAGGGTGCCCGGGTGCAGGAACGCGGCCCGCACCTACTACAACACAGTGTTATAGTGTTCTTTTCCATATTAAGACTATTTCTAAACTGAATTTGTGGGAGGGTGCAAGAATGGGCAGATGCGTAGGCTGCTGAGAAGAGCTGTGCTTTAGGGGGGTTCCGTTCTTCAGAAGCAGACCAGAGGGGCAGCTTGGTGATGAGGTGCAAGGGTAAGAGTCTATAGCTTTGTTTACCCCAGAAGTTCTCGTCAGTAGGTATAGCAGCAATGTATGAAATTAATGTGTGTGTGTGTGTGTGTGTGTGTGTGTGTGTGTGAGATAGAGAGAGAGAGAGAGAGAGAGAGAGAGAGAGAGACAAAATGAATGAAGGAAGCTCAGATGATTCTAAGTACAAAAAATTAAAAAATGAAGTTTTCTAAGAGATAAGAATTTGGGCATTTCCTGTAGAGTTATATTTGTATCCATTTGTAGAGTTAGGAGTGATTGCTAACTTTTCATTCTGTGATCTAACTAATTGATTGTTGCAGATTAGAAACTTCTTGCTCTAACAGATTTGGCTTGCTTTTTCTTTTTTCTTGCTGTTGGATTCACAGTAATCGCTGGGGCCTTCTGCTATGATATAGTTTTGGATAAGAGGCTGGATGAATGGATGCCAACAAAAGTAAGTCTACTCTTTAGAGCATTGTTTTCGGAGTCTGTTGTTCTCTGCTAAAATATTGCTGTCAGTACTGCTGAGTGGTTCTGCACATTGAGGACAGTTAGAGAATCTCTCTCCAAGAGTAATATCTCCCTTATCTGTGTGCCTGTCAGTCACTAATCTCTCATCCACCCATTCATCTTTTTTCTATCACTCTATATTGTAAACACATCTGTTGGTGATTTTTTTTTAGCTTATTTGTATATTTATTTGGATTTGTATATTCTATGCCTTGCTTGACCTTCTCTTTTTTGTTTGTCTATTTATTCTTTTTTTTGTTTTTGCATGAGACGAGAGCCTTACAGTATAGCTCTGGCTGCGGTGGAAATAACTTACAAAGTTAGTTGACCTCAGACTCACAGAGGTCTGCCTTCCTTTGCCTCCTTAGTGCTGGGGTTAGTAGTTTGAAGACATCCAGAATATAAGATACAGAAGCTGGACTGGAGAGTTGGCTCAGTAAGAAGCTTGCTGTGTGCGGTCTAGCTTTTTGTTAACTTGACAGATGCTAGAGTCCTAGGGGAAGAATGACTTCAGCTGAGAAGTGTTCCTCTCAGATTGGCCTGTGGACAACTTTGTATGGAGTTTTCTTAGTGATTAATGTAGGAGGGCCCAGTCCATTGTGGGTAGTGCTATCCCTGGGCTGGTGCTCTTGGATGCTATAAGAAGGCAGGCTGAGCAAGCAATGGGAGCACACTATTAAGTAGCACTACTCCATGGCCTCTGCGTCAGCTCCTGCTTTTGGTTCCTGCCCTGCCTTCCTTTGATGATGAGTTGTGATGTGGAAGTGTGAGTGAAGTAAACTCTCCTCCATGACTGTGCTTGTGGTCATGGTGTTTTACAGTAGTAAGAATCCTCAGATGCTGTGACTGCATGTGGTTCTCAGTGCAGATCTCCAGTATCCCTGCAAAAAGCTGAGTGGGATACCTGCTTCCTGCTTGTCACCCCTTGTACTGGGTGCTGGAGCAGGGATGGGGGGTTCACGGGAGTTTGCTAAGCATCAGCCTGGCGTCAGGTCCTGTGACCGACACTGATGGGAATATGGTAAAGAGTGACAGAGCAGGACACCTGATACCTGATGTTCTCTTAGGGCCTCAGCATGTATCCTTCACCCCAGCAGGTTCATATATACCCAATATACAGACACGCACGCATGCACACACACCGAATACATATATATCATACACATAACACACACACCATATACATATGCATGTATATGCATGAGCTTACCTTGTTGGTTAATGCTGTGTTAGGGGACCTGGAGCCATACTTACTTGGGTCCGCAGAGCAGAGTGTGAAAACTGTCACCTTACACTGTTTTAGCATTGTGCATACAGTGAGCGTTCTGTATATGCAGGAGTCATAGCAAGAGCCAGATGAGGCTGCAGAGATGACTTGGCAATGAAAAGAGCACTTGCTGTCCTGACAGGCCCTGGGTTCTGTTCCTGCCACTACATCAGGCAGCTCACAACTGTCTGTAACTCCAGTTCCAGTCGATTGGACATGCTCTTCTGGCTTCTGTGGGCACTTGAACACACACACACAGACATACGAATAAAATAAATAAACTTTTTTTTTATTTTAAAAGGAGTAAGTTTAACTATGAAAAAGTGTCCTAAATAGCAATGACATTTGTAAAACCTTAACTAATTGTGTATTTTCTGCCTCATTAAAAAATGTCGGTCTTGATTGATCTGGGATATGCTAACATTACATGACCAGCGAAACAGGGATAAAAACAATGATACTTTTCTCCTGCATTTATTTATTTATTTGTTATTTATTTTATTGAGCTATACATTTTTCTCTGTCTCCTCCCTTCCTCTTTGTTCCCCTCCCCTCCCCTTCAATCCTCTCCCATGTTTCTAATTTACTCAGGGGATCTTGTCTTTTTCTACTTCCCATGTGTGACGTGTGTCTCTCTTAGGGTCCCCATTGTTGTCTAGGGTCTCTGGGATTATGAATTGTGGGCTTGCTTTATTTATTTTTTTGCTAAACATTTTATTTATTTATTTATTTTGTCTAAAAGCCACTTATGAATGAGTACATGTGATATTTGTCTTTTTGAGTCTGGGTTACCTCACTCAATATGATGTTTTCTAGATCCATCCGTGTGTCTGCAAAATTCAAGATGTCATTATTTATTTATTTATTTTTTGCTGTGTAGTACTCCATTGTGTAAATGTACCACATTTTCCTTATCCATTCTTCGGTCAAGGGGCATTTAGGTTGTTTCCAGGTTTTGACTGTGACAAACAATGCAGCTATGAATATAGTTGAGCACATGTCCTTGTGGTGCAATTGAACATCCTTTGGATATATACCCAAAAGTGGTATTGCTGGGTCTTGAGGAGGTTGTTTCCTAATTTTCTGAGAAATCGCCATGCTGATATCCAAAGGGGCTGTACCAGCTTGCATTCCCACCAGCAATGCAGAAGTGTTCCCTTTTCCCCACATCCTCTCCAGCATAAGTTGTCATCAGTGTTTTTGGTCTTGGCCATTCTTATAGGTGTAAGATGCAATCTCAGCGTCGTTTCTTGCATTTATTGAACATAGTTTTAGTCATGTGTACACAGTATGCAGTCTTTTATGCTTCGCTGCTTATTAATGTTTCTACTGGTGTTATAATTTTAGTAAACATTTGTTTGTATATTTTGAGTGAAGTGTTAAGATTTTCTCTGCAGATTTATGTTTAACAGTTTTACTATTTTACAAGATTTTTAGTTTGTGAAATTGAAAAGAATGAAAAAATATTGTGAATGAAAAGGGTCTTCATAAATGAGTTTTTCTTTCTTTTAAGTGAAGATCTGTAGCACTAAGTATGTGGTTTTGTCTTTGTGACTTATGGAGAAAACATTTTGGGTGAATGGTTTCTAGCAGTTTGTTTGTTTGTTTTTCCCCCAGGAGAACCTGCGTTCTTTCACAAAAGATGCCCATGCTTTAATGTTTCGGGACCTTCCCTTTGAAACGCTGGAAGTTGATGCAAAAGTAGCCTTAGAAATCTTTCAACATAACAAGTAAGTGTTGGCTGCATTTTCTTAAGAATAGCATATAATGATGAAAACACAGCTTTTAAGAAGTTTTGTCTTTTTATTTTACTTAGTATATATATTTTTCAAGTACTGCTGGTCGAGCCTTGGGTCTTGTGCACGCTAGGCAAGCCTTCTGCTGTTGGGTTGTATTTCCAGCCCTCCTTTCCTGTTGAGTGTGAGACACAGTGTCACTAAGTTGTGCAGGCCGACTTCGCAGTCCTCATCATCCTGGCTTAGTGTTTGGAAACCTGGGGTTGTAGGGCCCTTACACTTCCATACTCAGCAGGAATGTTTATCTTTGGTTTACATAAGGCATAATTTTAATTTTTTTGCCCTAAGATTTATTTTTCTTTATCACATTTCTCTTTCTGTATTGTCTGTGTTCACCTCATTGCTGATTCCCTAAGTAAAGTGGTCCCTATTTCCTCAATAATTTCCTCACTGGGTTTTAGTGTCTGTTTTTAGGCCAGCCCTTCTCTTTTTATCAAGATGGTGTGTTTCCTTGTTTCCACTCTGAAGTGATGACCTGTGTTTGAGAGTGGTATTCTTTTGTGCACACATCAGCCTTTCCCTGATGGTCTTCCAGTCTCAGAAGGTTAAGGCTGAAAATACAAGTAGTTTTGGACAGTGTTTATGCATTTAGGTCATACTTTTCTCTGTGTGAAATAGCCATATGATGGATTTGCCAACATTTCAAATCCTGCTTGGCTTCTCAAGTCTCTTTCTCCCTTAAAATTTGTAGTTTCCCTCCTACTTGTGTTGTTAAGAGCAAACTGAATTTGAGAATTCATGTACTAGAAAACATTACAGAGACTTTAAAGGGAGATCTGTGTTGAAGACAGAAAACATTGTGGCCTAAAGCTACAGTGTACACCTTGGAATTAGTGAAGGGTGTGGATGAGAATTTCCTTAGTGTGTAGCCAGGAACTCAGACTCTTATAGGAATATTTTGTCATAAATGTATCAAGAGATACATTTGTCTATTGTCTAGGTTGGCATCTTGTAAAGCAGCATACCTCTTTGCAAGTACCTTCCAGAGACATTGCTGCTGAAGTGATAAGCCCACACTTAGCACACTTGCAAAGCAAGGCCTCCCGGGAGGTAGAAGACAGCGTGCAAAAGACTGGCTGGGAAGCCCTTTCCTGTGAAGTGTTTGTGACATATCCTAGTCCAGTGTACTTTGTACTAACGTATGTTTAACTCAACTAGAGAATAGGTAGTAACTAGTGCCATAGGTCAAACCATCCTGTAGCATTATGGCAAGACAATTCCTGAGTTATCAGAGCTTATCAGCTTCCTTTCTGACAAAAGCCAAGACACACATATAGAAATATGATTAAGCCATTTATCTAATTTTATTAAATTTTCTTGTGGCTATATAAAAATGTTAAAAGAAAATCTGTGATACTAAAATGTTAATTTAACATACTATCAGTATCAAAGCTGCTAAGTATTCATATTCTTTCCATTCTGAAGTGTTCAGAGTCCAGTGTGCATTTACATTTAGGACATATCCAAGGGAACTGGCCCTCCATCTGCCTTGGGTGTAAATCGGTTCATCCCACTGCATCCACAGTTCACGACCTCATGTTCATGCCCACTGGATATCTACTTGGGACTTGAGGATAAACGAACAAGTTCTTAGTAAGCGTTTATCTGGGCTTTGTGTTCTGCGTGTGTGCATTAGTTATAGTGACAGCTGGGTAAACTCAGGGACTTCAGGCACTGACATTGGTAGGATTTGGAGGTAGTGATACAGGGTGTGGCGATAGAAGAATCAAAGAAATCTCTGATTTTTCACTGAGACACACGAACAGTTTTCTTACCATATTAAGATAGGAAATTCGTGAGAAAATAAGAAGTTTTTGTTGTTCCATTTGGTGACTGGTGGGTTAAGGTGTTTGTGGGTTGTCAAGAAGTTTTGGATCTCCAGCATAGAGGAGAGACATGGTTGGGGGCAGGGTGTGGGAGAACTTACTGCTTCAGTAGAAGCTAACACTTGTAAGTCAAGAAGTGACTTTAAGGCAGATGCTTAAGTGAAAATGAGGGTCTAGGATAGCCTGGCCTTAAAAGGAAGGGAAGTGAAGGGTGGCTAAGGAGTTGAGTTAGCAGGCAGCTGGCATGTCACTGAGGCCACAGAAAGGATGCTGCGAGAAGTGGAGAGGAGCAAAATGTCCTCTCAACGCTGGGTGGTGGCGCACGCCTTTAATCCCAGCACTCAGGAGGCAGAGGCAGGTGGATCTCTGTGAATTCAAGGCCAGCCTAGTCTGCAAGAGCTAGTTTCAGGACAGGCTCCAAAGCTACAGAGAAACCCTGTCTCGAAACACACACACACACACACACACACACACACACACACACAAAACCAATGTCCACTCAGTTGGCAACCATCGTGCTGTGAATTTAGTGAGAGGAGTTTAGTGGTGCCATGGGACCGGAGCCTGAGAAGAGGGACGTGAGGATTAGGAAGTTACAGTTGAAGCAGCTGCTGCAGCTGAAGTGAAAATGGCATCTTTAGGTGTTTCTGGATAGTTGAAGTTTGAATTTTTTTTTTCTTTTTTGGTGCTGCCTTTCAGGTATAAGTTGGACTTCATAGAGGAGAAGGCATCTCAGAATCCTGAGAGAATAGTCAAGTTACACAGGTAAGCGCCTGAAATTGGGTGGCTATGCTATAGGAAGCCTGGCTGTGTTCCCCTGGTGCAGTAGATGCGTGTACAGTATTGTGCTGTCACTACCTTCCTCTGTTGCTTTGTTAGTGTTTATGTGGCAGCTGGGAGTTTCACTTGATCTCTAGGGACAGTTGTGCTTTTCATTTTATGTATTTTGTGTTTGTTTGAGACAGGGCTTCTTATGAACTGGCCTCAAATATGTGATACTCCTGCTTCAGCTTCCTGAGTATTGGGATTACATGTAGGTGGAAGTTTCCTGTCTCACAGCTGCTCAGTCCCAAATACCTGGCAGTTGCTTCCCAAATTCCTGCACAGAGGCTTAATATTACTTATAAATGCTTGACTAATAGCTCAGACTTATTACTAACTAACGCTTTCATTTTAAGTTAACCCATATTCCTTATTTACAGTCCGCCACGTGGCAGTACCTTTTCTCAGTATAGCATGCCCATTTTACTTTCTTCATGTTTGGCAGGCATCTCCTGACTCTGCCCTTCTTCCCATCATCCTTAGTTTGATTGCCCCTCCTGTACTTCCTGCTTGGCTACTGGCCAATCAGCTTTTTATTAAACCAATTTTAGCAATGTACAAGAGGATTATTCCACATCATTTACAGGCATGTGCTACCACATGTGATCTTATGATTTATTTTTATTCAGTTGATGATTTTAGAATGTTAAAAATGAAATTTTTGAGAGTTGATTCTGAAATTGGGCAAAATATTTAGATAGGAATTGGAAATGGTTGTATAGAACCATGTGTGTTAATTTGTTATTTATGATTCATGTCAATTAAATTGGAATGTACTCTCTGCAGAAATGAAGAAAATCCACTGCTTATTTTGATGGTTTCTCATGGAGAGCAGTTTCCAGGCATAGGGGTTGGGGGAGGAAAGGAGGGAAAAGAGAGAGAGCTCATGAGTGCTTACTCTTTCAGAGGTGGATACTGAGTATCCTCTGTCGCTCTCTGCCTTATCCCTTGAGAAAAGGCTCTCAATAACAGGGAGCTTGTAGCTTCAGCTATACTGGCTAGTCAGTGAAGTCCTGGGATTTGTCTGACCCTGCCCCTCATGTAACAGCGGTTATAGGCATAAATAGCTTTGCTTGGCTTTTGTGTGGTTGCTGAGCATCAAACTGAGGTCTTTATGCTTGTACATCAAGTCCTCTTATAACTCTGAGCTTTTCCCAGCTCCAATGTTCCAGGGTGTTTTCTTGTAGAAAAAGTTCTTTTATTCTGCGTACCAAATTGAAGACTTGGCTACTGTGAGTTATTGCAAGGTTGTAGGTTGTCAGTCATAGACAAGTTGGATGTGTCTGATAACATGATGTGTCCCATGACTCTCAAAATCCTTTATAGTTATATGAATCCTAATTAAAAAAATGAGTTCTCTTACAATTTTTAGGTTATTCTCTTGGCATTGTATGTCAGGGTTGTTACAGGTGGATTATTCTCTTGGCATTGTATGTCAGGGTTGTCACAGGTGGATTATTCTTGGCATTGTATTTCAGGGTTGTTACAGGTGGATTGTTCTCTGGGCATTGTATGTCAGGGTTGTTACAGGTGGATTGTTCTCTGGGCATTGTATGTAAGGGTTGTTACAGGTGGATTGTTCTCTGGGCATTGTATGTCAGGGTTGTTACAGGTGGATTGTTCTCTGGGCATTGTATATCAGGGTTGTTACAGGTGGATTGGTGGATTATTCTTGGCATTGTATGTCAGGGTTGTCACAGGTGGATTGGGTGGATTATTCTCTTGGCATTGTATATCAGGGTTGTTAAAGGTGGATTATTCTTGGCATTGTATGTCAGGTTTGTTACAGGTGGATTGGTGGATTATTCTTGGCATTGTATGTCAGGGTTGTTACAGGTGGATTGTTCTCTGGGCATTGTATATCAGACTTATTAAAGGTAATTGGGCGGATTATTTTTGCCTTGCGATCTAGTGGAAAGAAGTCGATTTTTCACACTACTGTGATTTGATATTAATATTTTCTTTGCTTATTTTTTAACATCACACCAGAATTGGTGACTTCATCGATGTGAGTGAAGGCCCTCTTATCCCAAGAACAAGCATCTGTTTCCAGTACGAAGTGTCAGCAGTCCATAATCTCCACTCGACTCAGGCGAGCCTCACAAGGAGATTTCAGGGCCTGTCTTTACCCACCCACTTGAGAGTAAGTAAAACCGAAGCTCCACAGCTTCTAGTGTGGGGATGGACTGATTCTAGACTTGATTTTATAGAAATTGGAAGAACAAGCGTTTTCATTTCCTCGGGGTCCACTAATAATTTTGCAAGCTCTTTCATAATGTAAAACAGAAGGTTCATTCAAGGAATCAAATTGAGATAGTATTTTTAATTTTCCGAAGTAGCGTAGGAGAAACAGGTAATGACGAATTGAGAGGCCCTGGGGTGGTTGCTAGTGAGTGAGGCCTCTGGAATGCCCTGGGCCTTGGGAGTCGCCCTTTCCTCTACTGTTAGGATCGCTTATAAATCAAGGAGACAGTTGTTTCCCACATCGCCTCCACCTCTTAGTAATGCTCTTCCTTTCACTTCTTTTTTTAAACATTGTTTTTTGTGGTAATTATAGTTATAAGAAATAATACGTGTCATGCAGACACAGAAGAAACCCATGTCTGGTTTCTTCAGTGGTAATGTCTTTGTGGCTGTCAGGATATGGACACGGTGATAGGAAAAATCTGGTGGGTAGGGCGGCTTCTGGGTTTCAGTTCTGTTCCATCGGTCACCTTCTCTCTACATACCCACAGTGTTAATTACTGTGGCTATAAATAGGGCACTGAATAGGGTAAATAATTTATTCCGTTTTATTGTTCTTTGTCAAAATTCCTTTTTTATTATTTTTTCAATATATTTGTTTGAGACAGGGTCTCTACATACGCCTAGATATCCTGGGACTCTATGTAGACTAGATTGGCCTTGATCTCACAGGTGTCCACCCACTTCTGCCTCCAAAGTGCTGGTATTAAAGGCATGTGCCATGATTCCTGACCAATATGTTTTTATTAATTAATTTTAGTAATTGAACAGTTCATGTATACAGTGTATCTTAGTCATATTTACTCCCTTCTCCCCTAACTCCTCTCAGATCCGTTATTTTCTCCTCCTTTCTAAGTTTGTGTTATCCTTTTTTATATTCCCACGGAGTCCAGTTTGTGGTGCCCATGTGCTCATGGGTGTGAGGTCATCCACTGGAGTGAGGTGGAAGTGCCAGAGGCCCCACTCTTAAAGAAAACGGACTCCCCCTCCCATTCAGCTGTCAGCTCTCAGCTAGGAGTGGGGGACAGTGGTGGGAGGGGAAGCAAGATCTTAAAGGAACAGGGATTGTAAACACATGATAGTAAGGAGGAGGGGGATAATGGGAAGGGTGGGTTAAGTGGAGAGAGGAATGGGAGTGTAGGGTGGAGGAGGAACAGTTAACTATGGACATCTGGAAGAGCCGCATGGACTTGTTTTATAAACTTCCTATGTATATATATTATATCCATATGAAAAGTTAACTACTCTAATTCCTTTGTGCTTCATTTTTTCCTGTTTTATTTTATTTTCTTATTGATATTTGTTGAGCTCTACGTTTTTCTCTGTTCCCCTCCCTTCCTCTCTCCTCCCCCCTTCAGTCCTCCCCCAAGGTCCCCATGCTCCCAATTTACTCAGGAGATCTTGTCTTTTTATACTTTCTACTTCCCATGTAGATTAAATCTATGTAAGTCTCTCTTAGTGTCCAGGTTATTGTTTAGGTTCTCTGGGATTGTGGTCTGTAGGCTGGTTTTCTTTACTTTATGTTTAAAACCACCTATGAGTACATGTGATAATTCTTTCTGTGTCTGGGTTACCTCACTCAAAATAATGCTTTGTATTTCCATCCATTTTCCTGCAAAATTCAAGCTGTCGTTATTTTTTTCTGCTGTGTAGTACTCCATGGTGTAAATGTACCACATTTTCCTTATCCATTCTTTGGTCGAGGAGCATTTAGGTTGTTTCCAGCTATGACAAACAAAGCTGCTATGAACATAGTTGAGCACATGTCCTTGTGGTGCAATTGAACATCCTTTGGATATATACCCAAAAGTGGTATTACTGGGTCTTGAGGAAGATTGTTTCCTAATTTTCTGAGAAATCACCACACTGACATCCAAAGGAGTTGTAGCAGCTTGCATTCCCATCAGCAATGCAGAAGTGTTCCCTTTTCCCCACAACCTCTCCAGCATATGTTGTCATCAGTGTTCTTGGTCTTGGCTATTCTTACAGAAGTAAGATGGAATCTTAGAGTTTTGATTTGCATTTCTCTGATGACTAAGGATGTTGAATATTTCCTTAAGTGTCTTTCAGCCATTTTAGATTCCTCTGTTGAGAGTTCTGTGTTTAGGTCTGTACTCCATTTTTTTTTTTATTAGATTATGTGATCTTTTGGTGTCCAATTTCTTGAGTTCTTTGTATATTTTGGAGATCAGACCTCTGTCTGATGTGGGGTTGGTGAAGATCTTTTCCCATTCTGTAGGCTGTCGTTTTGTCTTGTTCACTGTGTCCTTTGCTTTACAGACGCTTTTCAATTTTAGGAGGTCCCATTTACTAATTGTTTCTCTCAGTGTCTGTGCTGCTGGGGTTATATTTAGGAAGTGGTTCCCTATGCCAATGCATTCAAGTGCACTTCCCACTTTCTCTTCTATAAGGTTCAGTGTGGCTGGCTTTATGTTGAAGTCTTTGATCCATTTGGAGTTGAGTTTTGTGCATGGTGATAGAAATGGGTCTATTTTCATTTTTCTACATTTTGATATCCACTTATGCCAGTACCACTTTTTTCTTTTTTCCATTTGATATTTTTTGCTTCTTTATTAAAGATCAGGTGTTTGAAGATGTGTGGATTGATATCTGGGTCTTCTATTTGGTTCCATTGGTCTTCCTGTCTGTTTTTATGCCAGTACCAGGCTGTTTTCAGTACTGTAGCTCCTTAGTAGAGTTTGAAGTCAGGGATTGTGATGCCTCCAGAAGTTCTTTTATTGCCCAGGATTGCTTTGGCTATCCTGGGGTTTTTGCTTTTCCAAATGAAGCTGAGTACTGTTCTTTCAAGGTCTTTGAAGAATTTTGCTGGGATTTTGATGGGCCCTTTATGCTTCATTTAACTTTAGTGTAATCCTTTTGTGATAATAACAGGAATTTCTCTTAACCTCTGTTGTAGTTTCAAAAGAATTATTATCTTTAATATGTTTGGTTTTCTAATAAATTAATATGGAATATCTTTTCATTTATTTAAAGATTTTTTTCATTTAAAAATTTTTAGTGCACATAGCCTAAAGTTGAAGTGAAGGACAGAGGAATTACAATAGCTCAAAGAATTTTTGTAGATTGTAACATGGGAGGCATCATCTTGACTTCACAGCCAGTTTATAGCTGCAGCAATCAAGACTGTGGCATTGAAAGGGATAGACAATAGGACAGAATCAGGAATCCACTCTCACAAGTATGATAACACCCATGTTTGCATGTTGGATTTCCTGCACACATGCTTCTTTCCCTAGTTGTCCCCATTTCTACTTATTATAGATAGTCTTTGATTTGTTCTTTCTTCCCATTTATTAGCAAATCCTTTGGACTCCTAGCTCAGTGCAATCTGATTCTAACCTATCTGCTGCATAACACCATCCTACCTCCTGCTTTCATCCTTACCTTCTATAGTGTAGCCTTAAATTTGTAGTCTGAGCCATCTATTTGCTTACTCTTTGTTGTTTTTTGAGACAGGGTTTTTCTGTATCCCTGGCTGCCCTGGTTCTAGCTCTGTAGATCAGGCTGGTCTTATACTCAGAGATCTGCCTGCCTCTGCCTCCCAAGTGCTAGGATTAAAGGTGTGTGCACCACCGCCCGACTGTTCATTTAAATAAATTATTATTTTTATGTGTATGAGTGTTTTGTCTGTAAGTATATCTGTGCACTACATGGTCATTAGAGGCCAGAAGATGGCATCAGGTCCTATGGAACTAGGATGGCTATGAGCCAGCATGTAGGTGCTAGGAATTGAACCTGGCTCCTTTAGAACAGCCAGTCCTTTTTACCCCAGCCACTGAGATGGCCCACTCTTTGTTTCCTTCTTTTGAGACAGGACCTCCTGTAGTCTAGATTGACCTTGAAGTCACTGTGTAGATTAAGGTGACCTTGATCTTCTGACCCTCCTGCCTTTGCTTCCTAAAGCTGAGATTACAGGTGTGAGCCATATACAAATTGTCTAATTCTTCATGCCCCAACTCTCCTGTGGTCTGCCTGAAACAAACCTGACTGTTCTGTGTCCCTAAGCCCTTCAGTGTCTCCCCTGCTTGCCTTGCTGACCTCACTGCAGGCCACTCCTTCCTCCGTCTGCTCTGTCCCCGTTACAGGCTAAGTTCTCTCACCAGTGTCCCTTCTGCCTCAGGAGGGTTAAGTTTTCCTCTTTGGCATTCCATGCCATCTATAGAAGGGTTTGCATGGAGATAGTTAATAATTTTGCCTTTTGTTGCAGACTGAGTTCATTTTTGTGTGAAATGGTCACTGACCACCCCTGTGCCTCACTGCCACCATCAGTGAGCTTTCTGCTCATTCTTTGGGGTGTAATTTTCTGAGCCATGGCTCTGCCATTTCAGTGTCAGAGCATTGCAGGTGGTTCCTGATGACATGCCTGTGGGCGCTTGTGGTCTGACAGGAAGGATGACCTCTAGAGGGTGACATGGCTAGTCATGGAAAGAGCTGTAGTCTTTGGAAAGTGGGGCACAGTTTTGCTTCCCATTAGGGAGAATGCTTTCTATGATAGACGTGATGTACATGAAGTAGCAGGACAAAGACGGGAGAATGGTATATCCCAGCCACATGAGGTGAGGGGTCTGTGTACGTCCTTCCTCTGGTCACTTTTGTTTATTTATTCCCAACATACTATTTTGTTGATTATCAAGGAATTTCACATAATGTACCCTGATGATACTTACTTCCCAGTCCTCCCAGGTCTGTCCCCTACCTTGTGACCTGCTTACCCCTAATAAAAAGAGAAGTAGGAAAGAAAGAAAGGAAGGAAGAAAAAAGTCCAATTTGTATTCACTGGTGCATGGCCAAACTCCCAGTGGCCATCTTCTTGAAGAAAACTGAGTCCTTCCCCACCTGCACCCCTCCAGAATCCATCAGTTGTGGAGAGCTGCACTTTAATATCTTTATCACATTTATTCTTCTCCTATATTCCATCCTGACCACAGTTTCCTCCCTCTCCTCTCCTCCCAGTCCCCCATTCTCGCTTCTGTTTCCCTTTAGAAAGGGCAGGCCTCCCAGGGATATCAACCATACGTAACTTATAAGATTAGGCACCTTCCCTCATATTAAGGGTGGGCAAGGCAGCCTGGTAAGAAGAAAGGGGTCCCCAAAGCGGGTGAATAGGGCAGAGACTGTCCCAGTCCACACTGTTAGGAGTCCCACCAGAGGAAAGCAATGAACTGTTACATGGATGTGTTAGACCCATTCAGACTCCCTGGTTGTCGGTTTAGTCTCTATGAGCTCCCATGAGACAAGGTTAGTTGACTCTGTGGGTTTTCTCGTGCCCTTGGCCCCTCTGGCTCCTACAGTCCGCCCTCATAAGATGGCTCATAACAAACCCTGAGATGTCCACAGGCACCAGGCACAGATGTGGTGCATGTACATATATGCATATATACTTAACACATGAAAATAAATCTAAAACTCCAGCTTCCTCCTGTATGCATTCATAGCAGATCTTCTCTTTTTAGGCACATTTTACAATATGGGACAAGCTATTGGAAAGATCACGGAAAATGGTAAGTTTTCACTGCAAAAATTTTCTTCTGTGAAGGGATGTCTTAGAAATTAAGTAACAACCAAAAACCAAACAAAAATAAAAAAACCACCAACACCCCCCCCCCCAAAAAAAAAACGAACAAAAAAACCCCCAACAAAATAGAGGTAGTGGCCTTGGAGAGAAGCAAAATAAAAACAGTACTAATTTGTCTTGTTAGTAGTGATTGTTCACTGATGGTGCTTTGGCAAGAATAAAGCTATAATTTGCCTTTTAAATTTGTTAATATCATTAAAATGATAGCATAGAACTGAAACAGAAGGGATGTGATGGTGATTGTTCTTAGTAGCTCTGTTAGTCCTAATTGAGTTCTTTTAAAAAAATTTTGTGAACTTAATAAACATTTGAAAAATGAAGGCTTATGAGGTTTAAGTAAGAGTGCCACATTTCTTGACCTCAGCACCATGTTGTCAACCGTGTTGTGAGAGCTGCCTGAGACTTGCTTCAGCTCTTCTAACTTACTCAGTCACTCTGTGAACAATAAATTAAGGCTAACCAACAAACTTACTAAGCACATGACCAGTTTATTTTTAAGTTGCTTATTTCTTCATGACAGCTTGTCCATAGAATGGGGCCACGGGCTGTGCTGGTACCTCTTTGCACTAGGTCTGTAACGAATTCTGGTGCAAACACAACTGTGCCCACACAAGACACCTTGAGTAGAATACCTTGTGTTTCACAGCTGGTGATTTTTCCTACAGTGATGCTTTTGTTCCATAGATAGAAAGAACAAGGTGAGAAGCTTGGGAAGCCTACATGTAATATGCCTCTGATTATGTAGTTTTAAATGGGATACATTTGGGGATCTATATTGGCAACTTGTTTTTTAACTCTCTGTGCTTGTTTAGCTTTCCATAATAATCACTGAGGGAAAGTGGGACAGGTTTTCATAGGAGGAGTGGAGGTTGGACTGTGGGTTAGGGTGAATTTTGAATGGTCTGTTTGAGAAGTAAAGCTGTTGGTGTCTTTACAGGTGACTGAAGATGAAATCAGACAAACAGAGAACACTGTATCTACCCAGTAACTTTCTAAAATTTAAGTATGTACAGTAAGTTAAAATAAAAGCCTTTAATATAATATGTTTGCTTTAGCTCTGGCTATGTCAGCAAAGTCCATGCCCCACAGCCTCCATTTATAAACATATGTGGAAATACACTGTATCTGTTGCCATCTCTTGCTTTGTTAAACAGTGGTGTGGTAAACATCCTTGTCTAAAATCATGCCTTTGTAGTTAGAAGATGCTATTAACTGTGCAGTTACTTTGTGCCAGCATGGTAAGACCGCCACAGAAAGTTTTTCTGTGTTTTTGTCTGAGACAGGGTCTTAGTATGTAGTCAGGCCTAGCTTGGAACTTGCTATGCTGTCCTCCTGCCTCAGCCTTCAGAGTGCTGGAATTAGGGTGCGCGCCTGCCTTTTAGTTAATTGTCACAATTCATTCAGATGGTGTTTCCAATTCATAAGCGAGGAAACAGAGTTTGAATGCAGGTGATTTGTCTCCACTACTTTGTGCTGCCTCTTGTATGAAAACCCCCATAGGGTTGCAGTTCCGGTAGTGAAGCTACTGCTAGATGCTGCAGATGCTAGCCTCCAAAGGGCTTGGTTTTTGTATTTTTTAAAAATATATAAAACTTTTTTTATATATTTAAATATTAAACTTTTAGTAAACTTTATTATAAAATGTTGCAAATAAAAAATATCGTACACCAAAATTAACTAGACCCCAAGTCTGTACACATACTCAGTGAACTTCCACGCAGTTAGAATAGCCATTTGGGATAGAGGCCATAGAGTATCACATCGGATTTTCATACTTTAACTATTGAATATATCTGTGTGCACTTAGCCAACACCAGTTGTGAAAGACCCATGACAGTGTTTTCCAGCTAATTCCTGGAAAAGGAATTAGCTTTATACCCCTTTTGGTGCGGGAGAATTGTCTGTATTCTGTCAATTATGTTATAAATAAACGCTGATTGGCCAGGAAAACCAGACAAGAAGTAGAAATAATGTAACGAGAACAGGAGAATTCTGGGAAGGAGGAAGTTGATTCCTCCCACTCCTGCCCAGACCACCGAAGCAGCAGGATATGATCTGCCCCACTGAAAAAAGGTACTGAGCCACATGGCTAACATAGATCAGAAAAATGGGTTAATCAAGATGTGAGAGTTAGCCAATGAGAGGCTAGAGCTAATGGGCCAATCAGCTTATAATTTATGGAGACCTATGTGTGATTTTCTTTGGGGCTAAACAGTTGTGGGGTACTGGGCGGGGCAGAAACCCCAACAACAAGCAGCCCCCCCCATGTTACACCGTTTACCTTCTCATGTCCATTACTTGCATTCAGGTTTTGACAAGGGATATTCTCCACAGTGTTTGAAAATACCTGCTTCATCTCACCTTTGAGCAGACTTTGATTACTGGATTTTCTTCTTTTTTGGAAGCCTTTGCCAAAACTGTTTTTTCTTTTCCAGTCTGAATACTTCTGAACTGGTGCCCAGGCTTTGTCTAAAGCTATTATTTCCTGTGTAATATATATTTCGTCTCTCCAGTTTATCGTCTATTTCTTGCCCAATTCTCATTTTCCTGGAGTTGATCTTTCCGATCCTTCCTACAGGAAAAGGGAAGGCGAACCGGGTTTCTAACTGGCTTTTCTCTGTTCTTGCTTCTGCGCAACTCTCTGGCCAGATGCCAAAGTCTTCTTTGAAATTCCCTGTGAGCCTTTAGAAGTAGTTCAGTTGGTATCTAGCAAGTGATGCTGTTAAGTTCTTGTTTGGTTTTGGACCTGAAGCTGTGCACCTCCTAAGACCCAGCACATTCTGGTCACTCTGGACCTTCTTTTGTTCTAGAACGATAACTTTCTATAGCTGTGCCAGTCTCAAGCAGTTATTTTTCTTGGTACTTACTGGGTCTGCTTAAAAATTCATAAATGCATTTTTAATTTTATGTGAATGCATATTTTTTCTGCATCCATTTTTCTTCAAGTTCCCATTTCTCTTATAGTTTCCCCATTCTTTCAGGTACTGGCCATTTGTTTTCAGAAAATTTCTTATATGCCACATTCTCTGCTTCAGTCTCCCAACTCCCTGTCCCAACCCTCTCTGCTAGTTTGTAGTTATTGATAAAATGTTACAAATAAAAAAAAAATCATAATTCTAGTTTAGTTTAGTTTTGAGCTCAGCAAGTGTCTGGGAGAGAGTGCGAGTGCTCAGCCAATTCTCTTTGTGTCCTGTGTCATTCAATCTTCTGCATACAAAACCAGGACTGCTATTTCCTTCCTCAATCCCATAAAACTGCCCCAGGACTGCTATTTCCTTCCTCAACCCCATAAAACTGCCCTTCATGTAAATCAGTCCCAGCCAAGGTAGTGTACTTCCACTTCCTCATGACTCCGCCTTCCACCCAAACACACCCAGTCTTACTCAGGCTCCAAGAACTTTCGGAATGGCTTGAAATAATGGGCCAGAATAATCCAGTCTGTGACAAACAGATCAACAAATAGAAGCCCAGGAGAGTTGGGCATCAGAAGACCTGACCATTGGGCCACATCTGGGTTATGGCTGGAGAGCTAGAGTGTTAGGGACACCTGCTATCGTAGATCTCTCAGTTTAGGTGATGGAAATGGAAATGCTCAAGGTTTGTGTTTTCACAGTGCTGGTATTGATAGAGCCATTGTGCTCTATCCTGTGTATTTCATCTTAGCCTGCCATCCTTAAAAACAGACAAGTCATAGAGATGCATACACTGATGGGGAAACTGAGGCTGGATCAGGTAATTTGCCTAGGCATGCAGTAGAGCCCAGAGCTCGTCACAGAAGGCATGGAAGTTCATAGCTTTTGACTAGAACTGCAGGACGGGAAGGACGGGAATGTAGAAAACCTAGTCGTTATTGACGTGCTCTGACGTTGTGGCTGTAGCTGCAAAAGGACTCTGAAGAGTTGAGACTGGAAACAAGGAGTCCTGAAGCTAGACTGGCCAGAGAACAGCAGTCCAAAGAAGCACCGTGGCGTGATCATTTCCACAGAACCTCTGTGGAACCACAGGATCGGGCCAAGGGTTGAGAAGAGGAATTTGTCTTGGCAGCATACACAGCAGAAAGCGATGGGGCCATGGGATGGGGGTGGGGTGCCCTTCCAGGGGAATACCGTGTCTTAGCAGGAGGGAACATTCCCCTCACTATCTTTATAACTCTTTTCCATTGTCTTCTTGTGTAAATAGCTTCAGAAATCACACTCTGTACTTTGCAAAGGAAAAAGATCACACACACACACACACACAATTTTCTAAGCCAGCTGAAGACTCATGAAATTTATTTGTCTATAGTGAAAAAGGTGCTTGACAAAATGTTCATGAAAACTGTCAGAACATGTATAGATTGAATATAATGATAATACAACTGTCTAAATATAGTTTATAAGTAATGGAGAGCGACATAGAAATTCAAACATTAAACATTGGTTCTGCAAATCAAATTATTCATTATAACAAAGCAGCAGGTAGTGTTTTGAATTAACTTTGAAAGAGCATTAATGTGGCACTTTACTATTTTATGGATAGTTCTGTATCTCCACGAAGTCACACACCAGCCTTGAAAGTGTCATTCCGTTCAGTGCATAAAGAAACAGAAGCTTTACTGTGGGGCTCAGCTATTGAACCTAGATTTGGGGTTTCATTTCAAATCAGAATTTTTCTGAGTTAAATTTTTGTGCCTTGTGAGGAAAATACAGGTAGCTAGCTCTCAGGGGTTATATCAGTGTTGTAATACTTTATTATATGTGTGTGTGTGTGTGTGTGTGTGTGTGTGTGTGTGTATGTGTGTGTGTATGTATATGTTTTTTGAGATGGTTTTTTTTTTTTTTTTAATGCGTAGCCCTGGCTGTCCTGGAACTCGCTCTATAGACCAGGCTGGCCTCCAACTCAGAGATTTGCTTGACTTTGCCTTCTGAGTGCTCAGATTAAAGGTGTGCGCCACCACCTGGATAATAGTTCATTTTAAAAATCATTCCGTGTTGTCTCAATTATCCCTTAAAATAAAATACAAATTGAGAGATAAGAACTTTAATCAAAGCTGACTAAATAAGACATCGTAACGGGAAAAATGCTAATTCCAAGTCTTATAAGAGCTACTTTCAGATAATCCTTGATGTTAGTGGAGAATGGCAGCCCTGAACTTTAACTACAGAGATATTATAGATACGCTTTATATATAGTATATTCAACCTGTATTCTGGTGGAATCATCAAAAGTGCTTATGAGCATCATTTTGGATTACAAATGATACAAGTTTCATTTTCCATTAAAGATAAAAATAAACATGCTGTGGGCTTGAAGTTGAAATGTTGTTTGGGATACCGCTGATAAATCTTTTAAATGACATTTATCTTAACACTTACAGTGGAACATCCTAGTAACCAGATTATGATTAGTACATTAAGAAACGGTAGAGTTTGAAGTCTGTGCTCCTCCAGCAGAGTGACTAATGGTCCTGTCATCCTCCCACGGCAGCCATTTGTTCCATGTGAACGCCAGTAACAGGCACCGTATCCTGTTAATGCTAACATGTAGGAGTCAGTCAGAGGCAAAACCCCTATCACGATTAGCATTAACAGCATACAGCCTCCAGCGAGCCTCTAGCGAGCCTCCAGTGAGCCTTGGGCATCCAGACGATGAGGCGCAAGCAACTTAAACCACAGGCTCTCCTTCCTGGTTCTCACCACCTGCAGAGAGAGAAAAATAAATAGTTTTGTGTGCACGTGCAGTGATAAAGACAGAGTGACTGACTATACATCTGAAGGCAAGATGGATTTCAGCTTTGAAAGGAAAGAGCTGGCTAAGTGCTAATAATTAATTTTTGGAAAATTTTTTGAAAGATTTGCATTTAAATGGCTAATTTTAAAATTACATTTTAAATTGTGTGGGTGAGAATAATTTGTACACATGTATCATCTCTAAAATAAAACCACTGTTGACAGTTCCAAATGCTGAAGTTCAAAGGATATAGCTTCAGTTCCAGTGTAGTTAAACTCTGGTTTGTATCCTACGGGTCCCTAGACAACTCAAGAAAACAACCCCGGTATTTAGAATAGCACCTTCTGACTTATGAAACTTCAACTCAATGAACTCATTTTCAGTCTGTAATGAGTATTTGAGGTTTCCCCTTCATCTTTTTTTTTCCAAGTAGTGCGATGCAGGCAGTATAGGTCTGCTCTGAAAATGTATCTGAAGCGTTCCCACTGCTCTGTAGGTATTCCTTTGGGGAAAGCACAGGCCAGTGACTTCAGTTTCATCCGTGTAAAGGAAGTGCAACTTAAAGAGCTCTGGCTCCAGGGACGTGGTCTCCAGCAGAGAGTCGAGTAGAAAAAGAAAAAGATGAATTTGCTGTTTCCTGTTAGAGTTTGATTTTACTCTCTCAGATAAAGTGACATTTCTCCCACAAGTTTCTGGTTTCGGTGTTACTGTAGGCGAACCTAGAAGTTAGACCATCATTCAAGGCTGTGGTTCCCTTCAGGACCAGAGGGGAACCACCTTCTCTTTTATTTAATAATGAAACCAGCTAGATGTAAAAATGTGATTCAGTTCAAAAGAAATGCATCAAGTGAAAAATTCCCCAGTGAATATATTTTGACAGGG